ATGCATTAAGATGGGAGGACTTCCACTCCCAGAATTCCCCAGTCAGCCATGCTTTAAGAGGGGTGGACTTCCACTCCCAGAATTCCCCAGTCAGCATGCATTAAGGTGGGATGACTTCCACTCCCAGAATCCCCCAGCCAGCCATGCTTTAAGAGGGGTGGACTTTGACACCCAGCATTCCCCAGCCAGCATGCTTTAAGATTGGTGGACTTTAACATGGCTGGCTGGAGAATTCTGGGAGTTGAAGTCTACAAGTCTTAAAGTGGCTAAGACTGTTTTAGAGAAATATTTCTGGTAGATCACTCACCTTAATCCGTCATAATTACAAGCAGGTAAGTCCATTTTTCATCAGGGGGAGGAACCTGGGTGTGTGTTGTCAGAAGGTGATGAGGCAGTGAATCGTCATGCCAGAGAGTGTCTTCTTGCCTGTCATTCCTCATGTGCCTAGTCCACATTGAGTCTGTTCAGAAGCCAGTCTGAGTAAACAGTGCGGAAGGTTGCTTTCTCTGGCTGTAGAGAAAAGGAATGTTTTTCTAGCAAGACGAGAATTCTAGGAGTGGAAATCCACCCAGCCTAAAATTCCTGACCTATAGAGAGAGATTCATATCCTCTCAAGGTGATTGAAAAATTCTGGAATTTGAGATCCACCCCTCTTAAAGCATGCCTGGCTGGGGGATTCTGGGAGTTGAAGTCCACCCCTCTTAAAGCAAGCTGGCTGGGGGATTGTGGGAGTTGAAGTCCACCCCTCTTAAAGCAGGCTGGCTGGGAGATTCTGGGAGTGGAAGTCCACACCTCTTAAAGCAAGCTGGCTGGGAGATTCTGGGAGTGGAAGTCCACCTCTCCTAAAGTATGCTGGCCGGGAATTCTGGGAGTGGAAGTCTACTCATCTTAAAGCATACCGGCTGGGGAATTCTTGGAGTAGAAGTCCACCCCTCTTAAAATTCCCGAGACACCAGAAATACTTGAGTAGAAAGTTAAAGAGATGATCATGCATAAGGAATGCAATAGTCAGCAAAACATGTTTTAAGTTTGGGAAAGGAAGAAGGCATTAGCAAGAAACTTTTTTTCATTTACCATCCTGGATTTCCTGGTGGTGCACTATCCATCAAGCAGTAAGTAGCCCAACCCTGATGAGCTTTTGAAGGTCAGCCAAGTTCAACCAGCTACTGCCAGCAAATGCAACAAATTGGATAGCAACCTCTAATTTTCTGTTCCTCCTACTAGACTCCACCCCCTCTTCAACTTCTGAAATTCTCCTACGCCACGAACTGGATATACATGAATATTACTAGCTTATATAATTTATCTAGTTACTCATTACACCAGAGGTCTCCAAACTTGGCAACTTTAAGACTTGTGGACTTTGACACCCAGAATTCCCCAGCCGGCCTGCTTTAAAATGGGTGGACTTCCATTCCCAGAATCCCCCAGTCAGCCATGCTTTAAGAGGGGTGGACTTCGACTCCCAGAATCCCCCAGTCAGCCATGCTTTAAGAGGGTGGACTTCCACTCCCAGAATTCCCCAGCCAGCCGTGCTTTAAGAGGGGAGGACTTCCACTCCCAGAATTCCCCAGCCAGCCATGCTTTAAGAGGGGTGGACTTCCACTCCCAGTATCCTCCAGCCAGGATGCTTTAAGAGGGGTGGACTTCCACTCCCAGAATTTCCCAGCTATGCCAGCTGGAGAATTCTTGAGTGGAAAGTCAACAAGTCTTAAAGTTGCCAAGTTTGGAGGCCCCTGCATTACACTGTTCGAGAGTGTCTAGTCAAAGTATGAGACATTTTGCAGCACAACACCGTACAACAATGGACTATGGAACAGCATCCCTTGACTTATGACCACCATTGGGTCCTGTTGCTAAGTGATGAGGTCATTAAGAGAGTCCTGCCCAAGTTTATGAGCAATTTTTTTTTTGCTGCAGTCTTTAAACAAATCACATTCATTAAGGGAATCCGGTTTGCTCCATGAACTTTGCTTATTCGAAGCCGGCTGGGAAAGTTGCAAGCAGTGTTCAGATGACGCAGGTCAGCGTGGTTGTTAAATTAAGTAACATGGTCGTTAAGCAAATCTGGCTTCCCCTGTTGATTTGTCAGAAGGTCGCAAAAGGGGGATCACTTGACCCCTGGGACACTGCAACCATCATAAATGTGAGATAGTTGTCAGGCGTTGTCCAAATGTCAGTCACATGACCCTGCCAAGGTCATAAGTGTGAAAAATGGTCATAAATCCCTTTTTTCCGTGCCAAGTGTAACTTCAGTCACTAAGCAAACTGTTGTAAGTTGAGGACTGCCTGTATATACTGTATGTACATGATGTTAGTTAGCAATCAGGGGCTCGAATCAATATGTTTACCATTTTCCTCCTGTCCTCTTTACTACAAAGAACCACCTACTGAGGTAGGATTAGATTGAGAAAGGGTGATTGCTCCAAGGTGACCCAACAGGATTGATCTTGGTTTGTGTAATTACCACGATCGCCTGACTCCCATTTGTTTATAGTAACTAGTTCATCAGGAACCTTGCATCAGGAACTGTCAAATAATCTCTCTCTGCCTCATCATTTGGGCTCAGATTAACAGATTAGTTGGAAGGGACCTTGTAGGTCATCTAGTCCAACCCACACACCCCTGCCCAAGCAGGGGACTCTCCTCTCGGAGGAGTTCAGACGTGGAACAGAAGTTTCCTTTGGAAGTTGTGGGAGCTTCATCACTGGAGGCTTTCAAGAATAGACTGGACTGCCATCGGTCAGAAATGGTGTAGTAGGGTCTGCTGATTGATTGGGGGTTGGACTAGATGACCTACAAAGGTCCCTTCCAACTCTAATCTAAAGTATACAAGCTGTGTTTGCGCCCCTCGCTCAAGGAAAGAACAAATGGCTGCTAACCTTGGCTTGATTTAACCTTGGTCAGTTTTTGTGGCTTCGTTGGAAATGTGAACCTCAGCCTCTTTGGGGAATGTATGGATTCAATGCATTGGATACAACCATAACATGGATTAATTCAAAACCAGCATGATGTGAGAATAAGGCCCCTGTGAGTGCATTCACATGTAACACAGAGACTAAACCAAACATTGGTAGATCTGACAGCACAGAATTGCCTAACCAGGTTAAAAAAAATCAACAGAAGTCAAGGGATTCCAACCTTGGCAACTTTAGGACTTGTGGACTTCAACTCCCAGAATTCCCCAGCCAGCATGACTGTCTGGAGAATTCTGGGAGTTGAAGTCCACAGGTCTTAAAGTTGTTAAGGTTGGAGGCCCCTCCCACTTTCTTGCACCAAGAGGGCATTAGCAAGACTTCAACACATCATAGGCCGTTCCTCATTGGCCAGAGAATTGGCAGAGGGTGTGGCTTGCTCACTACAGCCAATGGGGGCTGGGGAAGGGCACTCAGCATTGCCAGCTGCTCCCAGACAGTTCTCTATAATAGGGTCACAACTGGGCTGGTCTGTCTCTTCAACTCTTTTGCACAGAGGACCCGGTAGGCAAAATAAAATTAAAAATTAAAAATGGTGATTAATTAGGTTTCCATGTTCAGACAATACGAAACATGGTGGAACTGAGTTTAATCCTTTATGTGATTGCATCCATTTTGATGCTAAATTTAACACTTTGTGCACGTGAAAGAGAGTTGAGTGGTAATTCTGCTTTTGTTTTTTGTAACTTGCAAATTCATTAACCCTTTTGGGGGGCCCAATTAATTTTTTGGAGGGGATGAGGTTACTTATTTGATTTATTAAATTTATATGCTGCTCATCTAGCTATCCAAAGCAACTCTGGGTGGACATGGGGGGTTCTTTGTAGCTTCCTGCTTAATCCAGGTCTGCAAACTGGACTAGAAACTTGAAAAAGCAAATTGAAGAATGCAATTGTGTCTATGATATTTCCAGAAATAAATCTCTGCTCGGAGAATGTGGTTTAATTTTGAGTGAAATAAGAGAAAGGAAGTCAGAAAAATCAAGATGGTGATTGGGATTAAAAGGCCTCTCCTTTTATGGCTGCCATTTTGACTTTTTTGACCTTTTTGACTCCCTGCCGAGCTGGAAAACCACCCGCTTGCTACTGTTGTGTCTAATCCACTTGTTGTGCCTTCTGGGTTACAAACATTTGATATATAAATGTGTTTTTGCAACCAGGTTCAATCCAGGTCTGTAAACTGGACTAGAAACTTGAAAAGGCAAATTGAAGGATGCAGTGTGTCTGTGATATTACCAGGAATTGAGCTCAGCTTGGAGAGTTTGATTTCAACTGAAATATGGGGTGGAAGCTCAGGTGGCAATTGGGATGAAACAAAATGGCAGCCCTTTGTGGCTGCCATTTTGATTTTTTTGACTCCCTGCCCATTGCTGCCACGTCGAAGCCCCTTGTTGCTTCTTCTGGTTGACGAATGTCCGATATTTAGACGTGTTTTTCCTTTGCAACCAGGCTCAATCCTGCCTCTCTTCTTTTTCCTTCCACCCTCTCTTGGCGCATCAAACCCAGGCAGATCCCAAACACCACACCTCACCTGGGCAGGTAGGTGTGACCCACTGCAGAATGACTGGACTTCCTTTCTCTTTACTCAGTTGCTGTGTTCTTAATATTTTTTTTCTTTTTTCTCCTGGTTTTTGGGGGGCTTTCCTTTGATATGGGTTTATTTCCTAAGATCACAAGATTCTAGGTTCCTAGAGGTCTTTCTTCACAGGGTGGACTTCAACTCCCAGAATTCCCCAGCCAGCAAGGCCACACCCCCTGCTGAGAATTCTGGGAACTGGAAGCCACAAAGTTGGATTGGAAAATGTTATAGATTCTCAATCTCGGACTCTTTAAATTGTGTGGACTTCAACTCCCAGAATTCCCCAGCAAGCTGGCTGGCGAATTCTGGGAATTGAAGTCCACAAACCATGAAGTGGCCAAGGTTCAGAAATACAGTAATTTAATCCAATTCAGTGGTCTCTGTAAAGACAGGGTCACAAAAAAATTGAGATGGTGGCCACAATCACACGATTGTTTGTTTTTTAACATGTGACCTATGGTTATGGCCTCCATTTTGACTCTTTTGACCCTTTCGGCCTGAACTCCATTCCACTTCCTGCTGTCTTTCAAGACGAATGGATTTTTTCTTTTTAGTCAGGATTATACCACTTTCCATTCTGCCTTCCCCGAGGTGCAATTAGACTACATTTCCCATCATTCTCCACCGGTAACCTGGTGTAACCTGGTGTAAAGTTAAGCAAAATTGGAGGGAAGGTCACTGTGAGTCATAGATGGAGAATGAAAAGTCCTTGAAGAGAACATCCTTAGCCAATGATGAGATAGTCCTGGGATAATAGAGAGGATAAAAGAGGGAAAAGTCATTCCGGGTTGATGCCCTCAGGAAGTTATAGTGACAGATAGACTTTTCTTGTCCATGGAGCTTCAATAGATACATGGATGGATGTTTCTATGGATAGATTGGTAGATGGATAAGTGGAAAGATAAGTGAATGGATGGATAAATGGATAGATGGATGATATATGGAAGGATGGATGGATGGTTCTATGGATAAATTGATGGGTGGCTAGATGAAAAGATAAATGGATGGATGGATGGAGGAAGGATAGATGGATGGATAGATAGAAAGACGGATGGATGGATGGATAAATGGAAAGATGAATGGATGGATAGATGGATGATATATGGAAGGATGGATGGATAGATGGAAAGATAAATGAATGGACTAGTGGATGGAGGAAGAATATAGATGGATGGATAGATGGAAAGATAAATGAATGGGTGGATTGATGGATAGATGGATGATATATGGAAGGGTGGATGGATGATTCTATGGATAGATGGATGGATAGATAGAAAGACAAATAGATGGATGGATCTATGGATAGATGGATGGATGGATAAATGGAAAGATAAATGAATGGATGGATAGATGGATGATATATGGAAGGATGGATGGATTGGTGGATAGATGGAAGATATATGGAAGGATGGATGGAGAGTTCTATGGATAGATTGATGGATGGGTAGATGAAAGGATAAATGAATGGAGGAAGCATAAATGGATGGATAAATAGACGGATGGATGGATGGATCTATGGATGGGTAAATGGAAAGATAAATGAATGGATGGATAAATGAATTTTATATGGAAGGATGGATGGATGATGGATGGAGGAAGGATATAGATGGATGGAAAGCTGGAAAGATGAATAAATGGATTAATGGATAGATGGATGATATATGGAAGGTTGGATAGATAGATGGATCTCTTTCTCTTCCATAACTCCCACTAATCCAGCTTTTTATCCAAATACATCCAACAGTTCCCATTTTTTTCTGGAGATCGAAGCCTTCGAGAGCAACGTATCGCCAAGCCGGACGTCTCCCCCCATCTTCTCCAAGCCAATGGACTCCAACATCCGCCCATGGTGGGTACCGATGGATTCCTCTGTTTTATTGGATTGATAAGCCCCCCCTCCGGCCCTCCCCCACCCAAATCCCCCAAAGCAAGGTGGGATGAACACTGCACGGAAGCATTAAATCAGCACATGTCCCACCTCCATTCAGACGTCCTCCTCTTCCAGGGTGGGGGAGGGGAAGGAATGGAAGAGCTAAGGGTTCAAAAAAGATGAATGATGTAGCCACAACCATGGGATAAAAATCCTTTTTATTTACAATTGTTCCCTCTTAAAATTTATAACCCCCCCCTGCGCAAGATTCAATCCTATGTAGAGGCTAATTGTGATGACCCAAAAGGGCGTGGCACAAAGGCAACATAGTTAAATAAGCAATAAGAGTCCCTTTAATGCCTCCAACTTTGCCCCCAATGTCCAGGTTACCTTCGGCTGGAGAAAAAAATAACTCTCCCAAGAACAGCCTTTAAGTGGCGAAAATTCAGTCCAAAAACAAAGTACATACAAACTGTAACTAAAAATCCACACAAACTTTGCTGCAGTAATTAACTTGACAAGTCAGGAGAAGGAATTGCAGACTTTAAACACTGAGTTCCCAGCTGCAGCTCATGAAGGGAATCAGGGCCCTTTCCTCTCCCGTAAGCCACGCAACTCTTGTTGCTCCCTTCTCCCTTCTTCCCTGTGTGCCCTAAGATGAAGAGAGGGTGGACCTGGGTCTTCCTCCAAACTCCCTCTGCCTTGATCTACCTCCCCCCACCGCTCTGCCCAGCCGGACTTTGCCCATCCTCGGTTTCTTCCACAGCGAACGGAGCCACATTCCCACTCCCTGTCAGCTGCTCAGCCTCCCCCTCCGAATCAGATTCTGACAGGGGCATGACACTAATAGTTGGAATAGACTCTCCTGCTTGAGCAGGGGGTTGGACTAGATGACCTCCAAGGTCCCTCCCAACTCTGTTATTCTATGATTAAACACAGTTATGAAATTCGGCCTGTCGGCTAGTCCTTGACATATGACCACGACGGAGCCCCAAATGTCCATTGCTAAGCGAGACAGTGGTTGGGAGTCCTGCCCCGTTTTCCACGACCTTTCTTGCCACTGTTATTAAGCGAATCACTGCAGACGTTAAGTGAGTAACAGGGGTTGTTGAGTGAATCTGGCCTCCCCGTTGACTCAGCTTGTCCGAAGGTTGTAAAAAGGGGATCATGTGACCGCAGCAAAACTGCGACCGTCATAAGCATGAGTTGATTGCCAAACATCTGAATTTTGATCATGGGGCCATGCAACGGTCCTAAGTGTGAAAAATGGTCATAAGTTTTTCAGTGGTGTTATAACTTCAAACAGTCACTAACTGAGCCGGTTGTAAGTCTAGGACTACCGGAATATACCCTATCTGTCTGTGGCAACGAGGACCTAAGTTTGTTCAGGGTGCATCCTATCCTGGCCCTAAGCAGAAAAGCTTCTCCCCCACTTCCTCAAACTTTGAAATCTCAGAGGATTTCCTTAAGAGCATTGAACCTAGCATGGGAAGGGCACCCTGGAGGTCATCTAGTCCAACCCCCCTTGCTCGGTGCAGGAATCCAAGGGAAGGTATCCCAGAACAGAAGAGGTTGTGCAACCAACCTCTTCTTGAACATGTCCAGCTTCTTCTACAACCACAATTTCCACAATTCTTGGAAACTTGGGAATTTTAATTTGGGGGTTCCAAGGAGGAGAAATTCAGACAGGATGTTGCCCGCAGATTCGCAAAAGTCGTCGTCTTCTTCCAAGAATTGACTGATGGCAGAAATAATCCGATCGTTGGTTCAGACGTACTCTTGGCCTTGGCATTTTTTTTCCATTTCTTTTCCACGCAGTGCTTCCGCCAACTGTGAGGATATGGATTCCCCTCAGTCAATCCAGGATGACATCACGGAATACACCCCAAATGCTGAGAGTTGTTGGTAAGGCAAGACGTGGATTGTTGGGGTGGCAGTGGAAGGCTTTGTGAGGTGGGGGGCCCATAGGTCAGCCTTGGTGACTTGAAGATGAGTGGGCTTCATTTCCCAGAATTCCCCAGTTAGCATGCTTTAAAATGATGGGGGAACTACTCCCAGAATCCCCCAGCCAACTTCCTTTAAGAGGGGTGGGCTTCCACTCCCAGAATTCCCCAGCCAGGATGCTTTAAGAGGGGTGGACTTCAACTCCCAGAATTCCCCAGCCAGGATGCTTTAAGAGGGATGGACTTCAACTCCCAGAATTCCCCAGCCAGGATGCTTTAAGAGGGGAGGACTTCCACTCCCAGAATTCCTCAGCCAGGATGTTTTAAGAGGGGTGGACTTCAACTCCCAGAATTCCCCAGCCAGCCATGCTTTAAGAGGGGAGGACTTCAACTCCCAGAATTCCCCAGCCAGCCTACTTTAAGAGGGGTGGACTTCCACTCCCAGAATCCCCCAGCCAGCCTGCTTTAAGAGGGGTGGACTTCCACTCCCAGAATCCCCCAGCCAGGATGCTTTAAGAGGGGTGGACTTCCACTCCCAGAATCCCCCAGCCAGCATGCTTTAAAAGAGGTGGACTTCCACTCCCAGAATCCCCCAACCAGTATGTTTCAGTCCACCCATGTTCGAATTGCCAAGGTCAGGGAAACTCAGCTATAGATTAATTGCTTACTTGATTAGAATTATTGATTATGTCTCCTTCTCCTGATGTGGCCTGACCTCAAGGTTTCCAAAAATTGATTGAAAGGCATGTATACGAAACGTGGGTCCAGTTATTTGTGTATGTTACGTTTTTCTGTTTGTGTCTGTTTTACTGATAACAGATAACAGATAATCAGAGTTGGAAGGGACCTTGCAGGTCATCTAGTCCAACCCCCTGCTCAAGCAGGAGACCTTACACCATTTCTGACAAATGGCAGTCCAATCTCTTCTTGAAAGTCTCAAGTGATGATGCTCCCACAACTTCCAAGCTGTTCGATTGGTTGAATTCCCGCCCCCCAAACCTCATAGCATTTGTAGAGACCCTTCCAAGCAATTTTATTATTGGTTGCACAACAGCCTGCCTAGGTAGGCCAGTCTGATGGACGCCTCGTGCCAAAAAACCACCCACCTTCCCCAAACAGGGGGAGATGTGGCTTGCCCCCTTTCTTAATCTGCACCCCGAAAAGGCACCCAACTTGTTTTCCCTTTTCCGCAGCATCAACTCAACCCAAAATTGTCAGCCGAATTCTCGTCGTAAGAAGCTGAAAAAATATCTCTTCCGGGCGGTTTCGGAAGGAAATCTGGACGACTTACAGAGCGTTCTGGCAGAAATGAAGGACCGGTCACACAGGTGCCAAAATCTGACCGTCAAAGGTTGGTGGCTTTTGTTCTACACTGCTCAAAAAAATAAAGGGAACACTTCAACAACACAATGGAACTCCAAGTCAATCACACTTCTGTGAAATCAAACTGTCCACTTAGGTAGCAACACTGATTGACAATCAATTTCACATGCTGTTGTGCAAATGGAATAGACAACAGGTGGAAAGCAGAGGCAGGTAGCAAGACATCCCCAATGAAGGAGTGGTTCTGCAGGTGGTGACCACAGACCACTTCTCAGTTCCTATGCTTTCTGGCTGATGGTTTGGTCACTTTTGAATGCTGGCGGTGCTTTCACTCTAGTGGTAGCATGAGACGGAGTCTACAACCCACACAAGTGGCTCAGGTAGTGCAGCTCATCCAGGATGGCACATCAATGCGAGCTGCGGCAAGAAGGTTTGCTGTGTCTGTCAGCGTAGTGTCCAGAGCATGGAGGCGCTACCAGGAGACAGGCCAGTACATCAGGAGACGTGGAGGAGGCCATAGGAGGGCAACAACCCAGCATCAGGACCGCTACCTCCGCCTTTGTGTAAGGAGGGACAGGAGGAGCACTGCCAGAGCCCTGCAAAATGACCTCTAGCGGGCCACAAATGTGCATGTGGCTGCTCAAACGGTCAGAAACAGACTCCATGAGGGTGGTATGAGGGCCCGACATCCACAGGTGGGGGTTGTGCTTACAGCCCAACACCATGCAGGACGTTTGGCATTTGCCAGAGAACACCAAGATTGGCAAATTCGCCACTGGCGCCCTGTGCTCTTCACAGATGAAAGCAGGTTCACACTGAGCACATGTGACAGACATGACAGGGTCTGGAGACGCCGTGGAGAACGTTCTGCTGCCTGCAACATCCTCCAGCATGACCGGTTTGGCAGTGGGTCAGTAATGGTGTGGGGTGGCATTTCTTTCGGGGGCCGCACAGCCCTCCATGTGCTCGCCAGAGGTAGCCTGACTGCCATTAGGTACCGAGATGAGATCCTCAGACCCCTTGTGAGACCATATGCTGGTCCGGTTGGCCCTGGGTTCCTCCTAATGCAAGACAATGCTAGACCTCATGTGGCTGGAGTGTGTCAGCAGTTCCTGCAAGACGAAGGCATTGATGCTATGGACTGGCCTGCCCATTCCCCAGACCTAAATCCAATTGAGCACATCTGGGACATCATGTCTGGCTCCATCCACCAACGCCACGTTGCACCACAGACTGTCCAATAGTTGGGGGATGCTTTAGTCCAGGTATGGGAGGAGATCCCTCAGGAGACCATCCGCCACCTCATCAGGAGCATGCCCAGGCGTTGTAGGGAGGTCATACAGGCATGTGGAGGCCACACACACTACCGAGCCTCATTTTGACTTGTTTTAAGGACGTCACATCAAAGTTGGATCAGCCTGTAGTGTTTTTTTCCACTTTAATTTTGAGTGTAACTCCACATCCAGACTTCCATGGGTTGCTAAATTTGATTTCCATTGATAATTTTTGTGTGATTTTGTTGTCAGCACATTCAACTATGTAATGAACAAAGTATTTAATAAGAATATTGCATTCATTCAGATCTAGGATGTCTTATTTTTGTGTTCCCTTTATTTTTTTGAGCAGTGTACTTCTGCAAGGGAGGAAAAGGTGAATTCCGTGGCTGGAATAATTTTCGGGGGTGGGTGGGTTGGATGCCCAGAATGAATTTGGCACCCCCTTCCAGGGGACTACAAGGGTTGGATTTAGGAGCATCCTTGTCAGAAATGTCCAGAGAAGCATGGAAGAACGACCCTATTTTTTGTTAGTTTGGTCCAGTGGTCAAGGCACCAAGTTAGAAACTAGGAGTCGGCGAGTTATAGTTTTGCCTTAAGTAGGAAAGTTGGCTTTGTGACTTTGGACCAATCACCAGGAGATAGTGAGTTCTAGTCCCACCTTAGCCATCAAAGACAGCTCGGTGACTTTGGGCCAATCACCAGGAGACAATGAGTTCTAGTGCCGTCTTAGGTACGAAAATTGGGTTGGTGACTCTAAGTCAATCATTAATAGACTGTGAATTCTAATTCTAATCCCGCCTTAGACAGGAAAAGGGCCTGGGTGACTTTGAGCCAGTCCCTCTCTCTCAGCCCAATCCACCTCACAGGGTTGTTGTTGTAGTAGGGAGAACGGGAAGAGGAAGACGTATTGGATATGTTTCTCGCTTTGATGCATTTGTAAAATATAAAGGTGGGATATAAACAAACAAACAAACAAACACATTGTAAAAATGTTATCTGACTGGGGACATGGTAGGACATCGACTTTCTGGGAGGGGATCCAGTAGTTTTATGAAGTAACTCTTTCAAAGCAAGAAATAGTTTCTGGTAGTTTAAGATGAGGTGAATGGTCACATTCTAGGAGAAATAGGGAATTTTCCAGAGTCCCCTGTAATGTTCTGCTATTCCCCAGGATGTTCTGGTTCTCCCTAGAAAGTTCTGGCCTTCTCTAAAATGGTCTGCTTTGCGTTGAATGTCCTGGTTTTCTCCGGAATGTTCTGGCTTAATCTAGAACAGGGGTGGGCAAACTTTTTGGCTCGGGGGCCTCATTGACTTTTAAAATTTGACAGACGGGCCACCACCTGGTGTCGAAATTCCTGTCATTACAAGTCAAAATCAAATGAATGCAATCATTCAATCATTCACATCAAACCTTAATTCTGTACCAATCTTCGGCGGGCCGGATTAAAAAGACCAACGGGCCGGATGTGGCCCGCGGGCCGTAGTTTGCCCACCCCTGATCTAGAATGATCTGGTTTTCTCCAGGAAGGTTAGTGATCTCCAGGATGGTCTGGTTTTCTTAGGAAAGTTCTGGTATTCTCCAGAACATTCTGTTCTGGTTTTTCTCTAGAAAATTCTGCCATTCTTCAGAATGTTCCGGCCTTCCTTCCAGAATGTTTCTGGCTTTTCTCTAGAAAGTTCTTGCTTTCTTCAGAATGTTTTCCATAGAATGTTCTGGTTTCCTCTAGAAAGTTCTCCAGAATGTTTTCTTTCCTTCAGAAAGTTCTGGGTTTCTGTAGAAATTCTCTAGAAAGTTCTCCAGAATGTTTTCTTTCCTTCAGAAAGTTCTGGGTTTCTCTAGAAATTTCTGGTTTCCTCCAGAATGTCCTGGCTTTCCTTCGCAATGGTCTGGTTTTCTCTGGAAAGTTCTGTTATTATCCAGAACATTCTGTGCTTGTTTTTTCCTCTAGAAAATTCTGGCTTTCTTCAGTGTTCTTGTTTTCTGTGGAATGTTCTGGTTTTCTCTAGAAAGTTCTGGTTTTCTCCAGAACATTCCAGTTTTCATTCCGTGAATGTTTTTCCCCAGCATGGCAAGCTTTGTCCATTCACAATAATTTAATTAATTCTTTAATTAATTTAATTAATTCATTAATTCTTTTTGTGCCCCGCCCTATAAACAACTGTTTGGATCCACATCACCACATGACTGGACACCTAAAATTACTTTATTAATTTTTTTAAAACGAGCTTTTGGTTTACAATGATGCCTTCTCATTTGCCTCCCAACAAAGGGATCGGTAATTTCCTCCTAGTTACACAGCCGTAGCGTTCCCAATCAGCCTTAATTAACACAGAGGGACACCTGGGATAATTTCTCCTTATTTTACAGAATATCTGATGAATAAAATGACCTCTTCAGACACCGGGAAGACCTGCCTAATGAAAGCTCTGCTGAACATCAACCAGAACACCAAGGAAATTGTGAAGATGCTGCTGTCGTTTGCAGAAGAAAACCAAATCCTCGAAAAACTCATTAACGCGTCCTACACGGAGGAAGCCTATAGAGGTAAATTGGTGCCAGGGTTGAAAATTTTGCAAAAAAAAAGAAGCGTCAGAGAATTGCTTCTCTTCTGCACCCTGGGAAGGCTCCAAAAGGTGGAGAACAGATAACAGATAATCAGAGTTCAAAGGGACCTTGTAGGTCATCTAGTCCATCCCCCTGCCCAAGCAGGAGACCCTACACCATTTCTGACCAGAGGGCAGTCCAGTCTCTTCTTGAGAGCCTCCAGGGATGAAGCTCCCACAACTTCCCAAGGCAACTTCTGTTCCATTGGTTGAAGTTGTCAAAAAGTTTCTCCTTATTTCCAGGTTGAATCTCTCCTTGTTCAGTTTCCATCCATTATTTCCTATCTGGCCTTCAGGTGCCTTGGAAAATAGCCTGACCCCTCCCTCTCTGTGGCAGCCCCTCAAATACTGGAAGATTGCTCTCCTGTCTCCCCTGGTCCTTCTCTTCCCTGGACTAGGCAGGCCCAGTTCCTGCAACCGTTCTTCATATGTTTTAGTCTCCAGTACCCTCATCATCCTGGTTGCTCTTCTCTGTACTCTTTCCAGAGTCTCAACATCTTTTTTGACATCTCTTCTTCGTGGCAAGCCCTGAGATATTGGAAGACTGCTATCATGTCACCCCATCCTTCTTTTCCTTAAACTTGACATGTCTTTTGTCCATCCATGGTTTGCTCAGATATTTTTTCTTTCTTTCTTTCTTTCTTTCTTTTCTTTCTTTCTTTCTTTCTTTCTTTCTTTCTTTCTTTCT